ATCCATCATAGGAATTCCGTATGATATTGACTAATTTCTTAATATAAAAGAAGGGTTGGGCATAGGGTTAGCTACCCCATCCCGTAGAAAACTAACTTGCTAAAATGACGCTAACCAGAAAAAATAATTCAAACCATTTCAGTCAATATAGTTGACTAATTTTTCATTTTTCATGTGACGAAATTACAAGATTTTGCAATTAACATCATGAACTGATTTTAGTTAGGCAATCTTTTACAACTATCCAAAGTTTAATCTATAATGTTAAATGTACAATTCATTAATTCTAACCAACTTCGTGTGTAATGATAACGTTACGATTGAAAAACGTAAGGGAAACAACTTCTCATTCTAGTATTAGGGATAACAGTCTGAAATTAGATTTCAATTAAAACATAGTAGAAAGACGTTTTTTCAGAGATGAACTAATATAGCATTTCTCTAAACTATCTCGTATTATTTATTTAAATCCAATAACCACTGAAAATTATATAAATTAAATTGGTTAATAGGATAATCTATGAGTCTCATATGTTGAGAAATTCAAATAAGTCACTTCATCTAAAAGTTGTGCTGATGATGTTATTCAAAAGAATAATGGAAAGCTTCACGATTAAATCATCTAGCTCAGAGAACAAAGTTCCATCTAAAAAGTTCTATTTCAACTTGATAATTGCTGAACTGTACATTATAAGTGTTAGTAAATGGATTTACATGTATATTACTAAATTTTCTGTTAGTATTCAGTGGTCGAAATAATAGATTTGTCAGCAAATACTCTTATAAGAATCCACATCAATATAACTATGAAACTAACTATTCAAATGAATTCAAGTCAGTAATTTCGTGTTTTTTTGTTCTTTCTTCTACATGAGCATGTTTAATATTAAAACACTCAGGAAATAATCTAAGGTATGAACTAATACCACTCTTGATGGTCTTGTATTAGTATTCTGATACGAGACAATGGGTTTTAAACGTTCTTTAAGCCCTAACGCTTCAGGCTGGGCTATTTCGTTTACTACCCTACATATGTATTGTATGCAGTATAAACTGTACAAGCCATATTGCTGTGCAGAGCTGAAGGTATCATATGACACTAGAAGTTCACCATTCATATTGTGATCGTTCGGCCATACTTTGGCAAGTTTTGCTGACTGTTGGTTTGCTGGTTAACCAATTTCATTCATACTGGTGGTTGCTTTACAGTTTTCTCAAGGGCCATTGTCATTGAGACATTATATGGCATGTAGCTATTGCAAACACTAATGGGTCTGACTGTCTGTAAGCGGACTAGGCCAACTTTGACCTGTTCGTGCTGTACATGATTGGTTCACCAGGTCATTCATTGGTGTGGTTGCGCCACAAGATTGAGCTGTACTATTCAGATTGTAGTGTTAAAACCTAAATCGTGTCTGGTTTTCCTGTGAAGCGGGATTGAGCTGTACTGTTTGGGTTGTCACATGAAAGTCTGGATGTTGTCTGGTTCTCCTGAAGACCAATGTAAAATTACTCTAACCCACATGGGTATATTATTTAACTCTCTCTATATGTATGAACTAATACTACAACATAATTACATTAAATGTAGTTTGTGACTAAATTAATTCACAATTCAAACATATTTTATGTTTTATTTTAAACATCACTTTGTTGTTATGTTGTTTCTTTAATTTATTCTTTTAATAGTTGTATCTAACCTGGTTTTTCTTTTAAATTTGTTTCTTTTCTTTTCTGACAACTTTTCTTTAATTACAATCTGATGTTGTATATATTTGAATATTGAAAAAAAGTCCATTTGAGACCACCTATAATGATTCGATTCAATAATCAAAAGGCACTTCATATGAATTATTTCAATTGAATAGTTTATTCTTTTAAAGAAAATAAAAGTGAATTAGGGTGTATAGTAGGTATAAGATGAATATATGTATACATATAAGAAATCCTATCCAATTATTTACATATTTTAAATGAATAGCATACTAATTAGACAGAAATAAGTAGTAGATTCTGTAGAAAAAAATATTAAATTTTAATTAAATCAAGTTTTATTTACAAGTTTTGGATGTTAATAGATAAATTTTATGTGTGAACTGCCCTCGTTACAATGATTTATCAACTTTTCAATAAGAAACTACTAATAACTAGAAGAAATGATTTGTATGAAATAGGAAATGATATACAATCGTCAAGTATAATTAGTTTATTCATTTAGAAAATGTGTGCCCCCAAATGCCTGGTAAGGTCGAGAATGAGGAGAGTCCACTCTCTTTCTCTTCAAATGTTCTCACATGGCCAAGTGCATACAACCATGGAGGGTTCACCTAGAGGAGTTGGGAAACACTGATTACAAACAAATGGTGTAAATATGCTTCAGTGTCCTGAAGGAGCAAAAGGTGTATGAACATATTGTTAGTCACCAGCTACCATGAGACTGCATCACCTGACGTTGCTCCACTGCCTTGTGGGTTAGACTTTTAGGTTGAAGGCTCCGGGGTGTGGCTCCCTAAGAAAATCACCTGCTTCGGTTTATGCACCCGAGCGGCATCTCAACCCTCACACAAGTGGAATGATTTATGTGGCGTATAAATATTTGGTTCCTCCTTGTAGCAATATTTATGTGTTTAAATAAATAAGAAAGTGTACGCAATGCAGTGTCTAGTACTATGTCAAGCTCAAAAGGGTTATTCTAACTTCCGGACAAATCATTTTGTTCATTTATCTTGAGTCACATTTTGACCCTAATAACTATTCACTAATTAATCTTGACTTTTTATATGGGTATTTGTGTTTTTATTGCTTATCGTACTCATTACATGTATGTAACTTATTTTTATCTGACTATAAATATTGAATCATGCTGTAACAAAACGAGATGGCTTATTTATATTCTCTGCTTTGCTTTCCCGCTCTTCATTATGAATGTTTATCTGGACAAAAGAGTGCCTGAATTATATTCATTCAACCCAACCTAAATCTGGTTTCTTGTTATCGCTGTCACATAAACGAGATTAGTGTATGTAATATACGAAGTTAAGTATAAGATTTATGTTCATAGTACTTCCATACATCCATTCAGATCGGAGTCAGACACTGGACCGCAAAAGTTATTTATGTGGAGCCCTGGAAATGATTTTCGTGATGTTTGTGATTCATTAGCTATGCGTTTTCATCTGCTTAGGTTATTAATGGACGTATATAAATTCGAATTGTAGTCACTCGGAGTCGAAGTCAGAGACATTACTACCAAATTATCTTGTTGTAATTGATTCCTTAGTTTAAACTTAGACGATTCTTTTATGTTGTCAACTACGTGGAATCTGTATAGGTGTAGATTTGCTTTTAAACTGTTTGATGTATTCTAACATTAAATAGGGTTAAAATACTTAGCTTAGTATGTATATAGCCAGATTCGTCGATAAACCTATACACCCTTAAGAATAGTAAACAATCGATTTGTACTTTTCAAACAGTAATTCAGGATACAATTCATCTCACTGAACAATACTAAATGACAAAACTGACAAAGTATGTTTTTTCTTTAAATACTTTCATAACATATTACTATAGATTCTAATCAAGTCAATCGTTATGTTTATGCTACTTATATTCCATAAGTCTTTGATCAACCTTCCTGACGGACTTCAATAAATGATCATTTCAAAAATTAGTAGAGTTCATAAATTTTAGAAACTATTTTTTAACTCTATTTATCTCAGTGGCAGATTTTTTTCACAAATATGAGGGAAGTAAAAAGTTCGAAACTAATTCACCACAGTCACATGACTCCAGTTTTTGTTGTTGTTGATATAATAGTCAATAAACCATGGGAAGTATTAAAAATAGATTTTGTTGGATACCTTGTTTCATGGTATGATTATGATAATTTCCATCAGTTTAGAGAAATATTTATTTTTCGAAGAGAAAAAAGTGATTGTAATTCGTACACAATAATCTTCAATAATCAACGAACTGTTAACCTGACTCCCATTATAAATCATTGTAACTTGAAGATTCACTACCACCAAAATTATTTACAATTTTACTAGTGGAGTTCAACCAGGTCTGTTGTGAGATATCAGCTCACTAAAGACAATGTTGTAGGGTGACGCAACTTCGTGGATTGATTGAAGTTAGACATTAACACCGTTGGATGCCGACGGGCTCAGTGGTCTAGTTGGTTAAGCACCTGGGGCGAGACTGATAGGTCCTGGTTCGAATCTCATGAGAAGGGATCGTGGATGCGCACTGTTGAGGAGCCCTATACTAGGACGAAACGGCCGTCCAGTGCTTTCAGGTTTTCCATGGTGGTCTAGCTTCAACTGACTCATGATTTCAGTCAGTGAAATTTCTGAAAATCTCCACTAACCTTCTGAAAATATTTATTGATCATGAAATAACTGTTAAAGTTTATTTCTCTAAGGATTAGTTGAGACTCTGGTAATACTTTTAACTGGGAAACAATTTATTGTTAATTGAATAGCTATTGAATATTTCATAGTTGATTATTTACTGGATGGTGACCAACTTCATATTTGTTTAGTTATATGTCCTGGTGTAATTCTATTGATTACGTTGTAATTTGGACTCTAGTTAAAATGGTTCTACACTTTTTGTAATATGTTGAGTTATTAGTGAACTGAAAGTAGTTGACAAGGAACCTATGAACCTTGGTTTTTTACCGTAGAACACTTGATAGAATTCAATTTTCAAACAAGACATCAGTCCCTACACAGAAACCAGTCAATTACGAATCTCTCAGTACTGTAGGAAGCTAGTAGTAGTAGTAGTAGTAGTAGTAGTAGTAGTAGTAGTAGTAGTAGTAGTAGTAGTAGTAGTAGTAGTAGAATAGTTCAGTGGCAGCGTCTTAGATTGTAAGTTATAATAAAGATTTAGAATGAATAGTATGAATATTATTAAATTTTTGTGTAGCTTAGCTGACGAATATTTACAGTGTTTCTAATTTGTTTTGTTTTTTCTAAAACGTTTTTTTCCAGCAACTTCATATGAATGCAACAGTTTCAGAAATTGATGGAGGAAGTGCTGATTCCGGACAAGGAGCTAGTGAAGAAGAACCTGTGAATCATGAGTTATCAAAGTGTGAGTTAATATTATAATTTCTTTCCTATATGAATATAGTCTCTTAGTTGGAACCTAACACTTAATTATACTAATTAAATCTTATAAAACTTCATATAAAGTATGGTGAAACTAATTTATGGACGACTTTTCAGTGTTGCCAAAGTGGCCTTGAGAATGTTCACCTACTGTCCAGGTCAAAATATGGGTTTTGAAACAGTATGAAGGATAAGAATTATGATTTACAGTTGATGGTTAAGGATAGGGATTAGATTAAGGGTTTTCATCACGAACTGACATCAGCTAAAATGCCAAGACACTATTTAGTCAAATGGATAAAGAATTTCACGCCGAAATCCAAGACCTATTATCGTAAATCTGATTGATTCGTCCATATATCATAGTCTTGCATTAAAACATTTTATGAATGGTGTATACAATGTACACCCATAGTGAAAACCTACATAACTCATAACAGAACGATATGACTTTCAAGTTATCCCTTCAAGAAATTATCTTACAGAAACTGTACAATGAAAACAGGCGAAAAACTATTATTATCATTATTATTATTGCCAATATTATTTTGATTGTTTCTTTGAAAAATAAATGAACATCTTTTTTCCGACTAATTTGTAATTTCATTTATTATTGTCACATTCATCAATTAGAAAAAAACTATTTTTGTGTGCGTATAAAATTTGTCAGTATAACCTACTTATTTCTGTTTATAAGTAGATTTTACAAGTTGACAGAAATTTTTTTGTTTTTTAAAAAAAATGTTTTAACAGAAAAGTTTTACAGTGAAAGTACATATTTTTCTTCTTTTTCATTCGTATGTATAAATGAACTAGATTTAATAATTATTATGGAAGAAAGGTAATTGATTGTTTAATAGTGACAGTTATGAAGTTGTACCCTTTCTTCCTTAGTGAAAGAGAGAAGATTGACTAAAGTGATATATAATATAATACTCTACCATGTTTCTATGCCATATCATAGTTCACGGTTTATTAAAACACTTTTTTTCCAAATGGTGACTCCTATAAACTTGACTATGAATAGGTGAATTGACGAGTAAAGGTATCTGAATTATGAATTAATAGGAGGCATAAATGAGTATGAATGAGTAAGGAATTCATATAAATCTTGTAGAAGTTTATCATCTCGTATTTTGCATGTATACATAGACCATACATAAATTTTTATGTTCATCCGTATTGTCAAAATCCTTGAATATAACCAATGTATTTGGAGAATGACTAACAATGAAGTCTAGAACTTAGTAAAAGTGCATGTCCTCACTTTTAATAGTACATCGTGAATTATATTAGGAATAAAGAGTGATATAACACCATTTTCTACACATAACGTGAGCCTTCCAGATCAGTACGTTGTAATGTTCAATGATCATCAAATAAAATTCATTGATTTCACTTATAAATATATTGTTTGGTTCTTTTTATTCATTTTTCAGTTCGTTTAAAATATACACGTCCTTATAATTCAAAAGAACTTTTACTAACCAAAACACAATGTAGTCCAATATCATCACCTAATGGTTGCCTAATTGATAGTCCTATAAATAAAAATGAGAATCATTGTTCTATAAATGAATCAAATCTTTGTACACAGACCAATTTACCTACTATGAATACATTTACAAATCATCGATCATCATTAAATAAACAATTTATTTATGCAATACATAATAGTAATTCAATTAATTCACAACGTCAATCATTAGTTTCAAATGATATATTACAACCTAGATGGCGTAAACCATTATTTAGTAATACTGATTTAGGGCATCATAATCATTTATTTGATGAATTTCCATTAACAAAAATATCAACTAAGAACTATTCATTAACACTTCCATTAAACAATAAACCATCTGATGATTTGGAACAAAATCATTCAACAAATCCTCATATTGATCTAACTAAATGAAAGTTTTATGGTAACAAACAACAAAGATTTAATTATTTATACTGGCTAACTCTATTATTATCATTGCCATATTCTGTATTTATATTGTATTCTCTAAATTATTGGAGTATGATCTAGTCAGTTTACTTATGTAAAACATGTCAAGTCAACATAACAATATCATAATACATTCCAGTATTTGCATTTATTTTCAAGTTACTTTAAATTTTAATATTAATTATCTTTTAATTATCTTTATTATTAATTTTTACTAATACTACTTATAAAGTTTATTTATCTTACATTCGATATTCATTCCATAATCAAATAGAACTGATGAAATACAATTTACTTTTGTTAGTTCTTGTTTAACTGTAAACAAACTTATGTATTGAAGTGTGTGTGTGTGTGTGTTTCTTTTCATTTTTACTTTCTAATATCGAATTCCTTTAATCAATATTATTCAATAAGTGGAATCAATCAGTTGTGATTGTTCTTGTCAATATTACAGATAACCTACTGAATTAAACATTATCCGAGAAGATTAGTGAATGAATGTAAAGTAGTTCAAATAGTCATTAGAACTTATCAATTTCAATAAAAAGTATTATAAGAATCAAAGTCTTATCTAAATGTAAAATATTTACTAACGATTGTATTACAATACTGTGTAATTTGATTCAGTTGATGAATGAAGATCGTGTATAATGTTACTCAAAGCAGTCATGTGAGACATTTCCACTTTATTATCGTCTTTTTTTATTACGAAAAAACCAATCCTGACCCTTCTTTATGGGATATATATATGAGATACAATTTTACTCTTAACTTAAAACTGCATCCATTTTACTCCTTTGATCGTTTTGTATTTCAAATTAGAACTGATAATTCCATGAATACGAATGTTGTATTTGAAATGAATAAAACACAAGAGATTTAAAGCTTTTGTGAATACAATGACTATTTATTATTATTTGTAACAATTTGTATTATTATGTTATTCATATTCATAATTATATTGAATCATAATATAGGTTATTTGATTGAACGCTTTGATTTAATTGAGAAACTTGAATGGTTTGAAATTCATTGTTTAGATTCGTGGATGGACTCTATTGAATATTCGCGAAGTACAACGTATTGTCTGTTCATCTCTTACAGTTTTTCTAAGGTTTTTCAATTGATTCCGGTTTGTCATAGGAATTCATATCAAAAGAACATAATTAGTTTAAGTACTGATACTATGTAAACACTAAGTGAATTTCGATAATGTAATAAGAGGACGAAGATTATCAGAATTATATGACATATTAGCGCAATACATTTCGAACAATCTGATCACACATAACATAATTGTTAAGGGCATTCATTTATAAAAATAAAAGGACAACTAGACTGGAAGTGGGTTAAGAGGAGATAAGGATACTAGTAAGAGTAATAATAATGCGAACACAATTCGAAACCTGATCACTCTGGATAATAAGTCAACATTACGAGGGTAGGTTTAAAGTAAGAACAAACTGTTTTTGAACACAGGAAGAATCTAATGTTAGAGAAAATTAACCAAACAAACCATGATTCATCTACCGAATGCAAATATAATGAAAGTTGGTTAAGCGCCTGGCGCAAGGCTGATAGGTCCTGGTTTCGAATCTCGCGGGGTGCGGGATCGTAGATGTATACTGCTGAGGAGTCCCGTACTAGGACGAAACGGCCGTCCAGTGCTTCCAGGTTTTCCATGGTGGTCTAGCTTCAATTGGCTCATGATTTCGACCAGTGATAATGAAAGTATTTTGTGAATGTAAAGAAGAACAGAATTCATACAAATAAAATGTTAATAGTAATTTAAGATATAGATTCATAATATTGAATAACCAATAATCACTATCTTTAGTTATGAGCAATGAATCTAATAGTTTTAATGATCTACAATTGATGTGTGAACTTATATCTATTGTTTCAGAAATTCTTATTCACACTACCAGTTTCTTATGTAATGAAAAGAATTTAACAGTTGTATCAATGTAATAGCTATCTCATTTCCATTTCAATTATAGCCTCTTGTGTGATTTATACATGTAACAACTATCAAAAAAGAATTAATTGAATAGTGTGACTTATAAAAGAGATGTTGAGATGTTGTGAAGCCTGAAATTTATGGATTATCCACCATCAAAGTATTTATCATAAATCTTCTAAGCACAATTTTGTCATTGATATGAAAAGTTATAGTGTATAATACCCTATAATATACTAAAAAGGTGGAATAACTGTAATATCATGCAGATTTTAACATGTGAAACATTTTCACTATTAAATAGTACATTTTGGCTTGTCACGTCATTTTTTTGTGTATAATCTTAAGTAGCTACCATTGATATTTGCTTTAGTACGTGGAAAGATTGTTTAAAGCTGTTGTGCCTCGATAAGAATAATGAGTGGTAATTTTTGGGATCCATTTGTGGACCATTATTATATGTATATTTTACTGTATAATTGTTAATTAACTAAACTATTCTTATCGATTAAATGTTAAATATTTCTATGGCATTCGATTGACTAAATCATCGATTAAATGTTTAAAAATACTTCCATGGTAATATCGATTATATACATATAATTGATATATATACGTTTGAATTGTGTTTGTGGATCGCTGTGTGATCGCTCGTTTCTGGCTGTTTGCAGAATATACTTTCCCATTCCTCTAGTAGCGGGGCTGAGAAGCATCAAATAGCTAGCTTACTGGTCTTTGGTCACTGAATCTTTGTTCTCGTTCGCATATTAAGTGAACTCATGATAGCTTAAAACCTAGCAAAATAGATTAGATTTCTAAAAAGAATCAAGTTTCATGAAGTATCAGTAATAATATTAATGAAGTTGACCAGATTATATTGAGCAATCTAATGAATTTTCTAAACGGTTAGCCATATTAAGCTGTGATATATTTAAATTAAACTAGAGATTATACAAGTTATTAGGACCCAATATTCTCCTGATAGAAATTGTGAATTTTTAAGAACGCGAAGCAAATGAACTAATGATCGCAACCATTGAAATTACTATAACATCCACAAAAACCTTTCTGATATGAATCAACATATGCTCACTGGTGACTGGATTCAAGAGGTATTTCCTGGAGTTCCAGTGACAAGCAATGACCATTGAAGTTCAGTCGGGTCTGTTGTGAGATAGTAACTCACTAAAGACGATGGCGAATGTATCGTACAATTTCGTGGATTGGTTGAAGTTAGACATTAACCCAGTTGAATTCCGGCTCACTGGTCCAATGGTTAAGCGCTCATACGAGAGACTGATAAGACCTGGGTTGGAATCTCGCGAGATAGTATCGCAGATGCGCACTGCTGAAGAGTCCCACAACAGGACGAAACGGCTGAACAGTGTTTCCAGGTTTTTCATGGTGGTCGGCTCATGATCTCAACCATTGAAATTAGTAAATAATTGTTAAGCATTTTTAGTTTGACTTCAAAGCTCAGATGATTATCTACCAGTAATTTTGTTAGAAAGCTTATTTTACATAAAAATAGGTTAGCAAAAGCTAAGAGAGTAAATAGTTTTTGGTAAACTCAAAGTAGCATAATCATACGACTTGAAATAATTACTTAAGTTATTGTGATTTTTATCATTTGGTTAATAATTAACCAAATCATAATCAGTAACAAGTTTTGGTGAAAAAAGTGCTTTTCTTTTTGACGACACACTAGGTAAGGTCGACGCCGTCTATGTCTGTTTATTAAAAAACACTACCTGATAGATAAAAGTTATGTTTACATCATTTGGAGACTCATATTTTAAATTATCAAGGGAACCTTGAAACTACATATTTTTCGGGAAAAAAGGCAATAATGAGAAACTCAAATTTTATATAATAATCTTATTATTTATGTATAAAGAAGACGTTTGAGCTCTCAAGTGGTAGTAAATATGTTAATAAAATTAAAGTTGAAGGGAATTACAAAACATTGTTGTGTAATGTCAGAAAGTAACATGCCATAAAACAATAACAAAAATAGCTAACTATAGAAAAAATATGATGAACAGTGAATACAATTAGTTTTGCTTGTATATATTGTCTCCCAACACTGAATACTTATCAAAAGGTGTCTGAATAACATGGGTGAGGTATTAGCAAATATGAAATTATCAGAAGGAGTTTTGTGAAAATTTTAGTGACTTCAGTAGTTGAAATCATGAGTCAATTGAAGCTAGACAACCATGGAAAACCTGGAGGCACTGTACTGCCGTTTCGTTCTGTTGTGGGATTCCTTAGCAGCGCGCATCCACGATCCCGCACCACGCGGGGCTCGAACCCAGGACCTACTGGCTTCGCGCGCGTGCACTTAACCACTAGACCACTAAGCCGGTCGGCATCCAACGATGGTAATGTCTAACTTCAACCACTCCACGAAGTTGCGCCACCGTACACCATTTCTAAAACTCTTCGCAAAACACATTCTAATAATAATCAATTGCTCACTAGTGGCTGACTTCAGGAAAACTTCCTGGAGTTCTAGTGAGAAGCCGTTACCAGTGGAGTTCAACCAGGTCTGTTGTGAGGTAGTAACTCACTGAAGACAATGGTGTACGGTGGCGCGACTCCGTGGATTGGTTGAAGTTAGACATTAACATCGTTTGATGCTGACCGGCTCAGTGGTCTAGTGGTTAAATGCTCGCGCGCGAAGCCAGTAGGTCCTGGGTTCGAGCCCCGCGTGGTGCATGATCGTGGATGCGCATTGCTGAAGAGTGCCATACTAGGACGAAACGGCCGTCCAGTGCTTCCAGGTTTCCCATGGTGGTCTAGCTTCAATTGACTCATGATTTCAACCTGTGAAAACTGATACTGTAAATAAAGGAAATAACAATACAAATGACTGATTTGTTTCCTTATATATATATATATATATATATATATATATATATATATATATATATATATATATATATATATAATGCATATGCTTCATTAAAAAGCTTTAAAATAAATATGTTTTTTCCGATAATGCAATGAGAAGACAAAGTTTATCAGAATTATGTGATACACATTTGCGCAATACATTTCGAACAATCTGATCACACATATTGAAGACTTCGTTATAAGGAAACTGAAACCCCCTTTATACGTTCAAAAACAATGTCCCTATCCTTAACCTACCCTGGTAATATTGATTTATTATCCAGAATGGTTATCACATTGATTTTGTGTATTTCTTTTTTTCATTGTTACGGCTTGCCTTTAATCTGTCTTGTTAACCATTTAATGTTTATATAAAAATATCTTCACAAATATATGAGCTATATACTTGAACACTTAATCGACTATAATCATTCTACGGATCCACAGTTTGATTTTAAGGTAGTATATATGATTCGTTCAAATCTACCTAGATTTCTTTATATCCAACTCCTAAAAATAGTCGAAGCTCTTACCATCCATGAGCTCAAAGCAGAACTATACGTGCAAAAGTAGTACGTCTTTTCATCATCATTACCTCGGCCTTAATAATATTATTTCACTATTATTATTATGATTTCTGCATTCCCCCTTTACTTATGTCTTATATTCGAGTTCACTATCTGATTTTATCCAATCTTAAATGCTTCTAAATTAAAAATCTCTTAAATAGTACAATTTACTATGATGTTTATCAAACACTATTATCACTAATTATTTTTAATCAACATTGAAATGTTATTTATTTCATTATTCAATTACAAACTGTTATGCACACAGATTCCACTCTACTCAAGTGTTTGTGAAAGCAGTGCATTGGTGAACACGAGCTGAAAATATTTTATCCAATCATCTTTTGGAAGAATATCCCAGGATCACTACATGTAGCTTTCCTATTGGATAAATGCTAATAACCTCCCTGTATGTGGATCGGCAAACTATAATGATGATTTCGTTTTTACCAAAAAAACTATAAATACCTGACAGTTTTGTACAATAATAGACACTATTCGTTTCACTTGTCTTCTATCTTCTCATGTACGATTTGGGAGGGTTCTAGAGTTCTAGTGCTCAAG